AAAAACTTAATATCATTATTAAATTACATATTTTTTCACTACTTTGTATAGAAAAATAAAAAATTTTAATTTTATTTTTAACACTAATAATACATGCATGATTTTAATTTGGGGATTTAAAAAATTGAAATGAATTTTTATTTTTTCAGGTAATTTTAATAATATGTGGGTGCTCATTTAATTAAATTAAATTTTGGACGGGTTTTTTTTATTAAAAATATTAATATTTAATAATAAATTAAATCTTTTTAGAAATTATAAAATTTAAATTATAATATTAATTATTGTAAATTAAAATTAGAATCTTAATGAATGTAAATTAAAATTTCATCTTGGTTAATTATTATATTTGATAAAAAAATTTGAACCTCAAAAACAAAATGTTGTAAAAAATAAAAATATATGTACTATATGTAATATTTTTCAAAAGTTTAAGAGGCAGTTTGTCAACAATTACAAAGAATTCCGTTAGTCAGTTAACAAAATGTTTGTCAAATAGATCATTTTAAAAGAAAAAATTTATTTTTAGACTAAATTGAAATAAATCACATAATTAATAGACTATTTATTGAATTTAACCCTTTAAATACCAATTTAAATGACACTATATGATTATGTAATGGAGCAAGGCCAACCATCCAAAGCCTATATTTACGGACTTCTAGATTTCTTTGCCTTTCCAACTTGAGACTTTTGATATTCTAATTTCCAAATTATAAACAAGTGTCGATTCAGAAGTTAGATCTCTCAATTAAGTATTAAGGTATGCACTTGCTGAAATTATTTATTTTTTAATATACCGTGCCACTATGGAGTCACCCTTAAAATTTCTTTTTTTAAAAAAATAATTTTGAAATGTATAAAAGTTAGTTATATTGTCACTTTTTAAATAAATTCACTAGAGTAGAAAGAGATACAACAGCCTAGAAAGAAAAACTTACCCTTTAGATCAAGAAAAGATCTCAAATCTTTTTTCCTTCCTTAATGCTTGTTCATAGAAGAAACTAAGAGTGTACTTGGTTAAAAACCAATTTTTCGAATAAGGTTTTTACTAAGAAGGTAATTGAAATGTTAAAAATACTGTATAGAAAATCATTAAACTTTATAATAAAATTTTTGTTGAAATTTTGTTAAGATGTTAATTTTATTGTATTTGGTAAGATGCTAGAATAGAATATGTTTGGAAACCTTTTTCTTGGAAAACATCTTTTTCTAAGATTTTGTAAGGATATTTTGGCACTTATACATCTTAAAATTATAATAATGATAGGATAAAGTGGTATTTTTAATCTTTCTTTTTTCTAACACAATTTTTAACTTATAAACTTTTCTTTCCACCTCTTTCAACAAAATATGTTTCTAACAACTTTTCTATATGGAACCTATTTAACAACTTTTAATACTAACTTTTCCTATAGTTCCCTATGTTAATTTCTTACTAAATAAAATAAATTAACAACCCAACAAAAATTTATTATAAAATGTGGTAACCTTTTGTATAATACCTTTTAACTTTCTTTACAATAATTTAACTATTCACTTTCCAAGGAAAGTCACTAGCCTTTAACCAAACAAACCCTTAAAGGAGAATGTTTCTCGCCAAACAAACAACTCCTAAGAGGAAA